CCTCCTCCTGAGACAAAATCTAAACACTTTCAGTTTCTTTTTCACAAATACTGTTTTCCAGTTTGCAAGATTTTTATTTTGAGTTCTGTGACAGGGAGAGAACTTTGGGTATTTCTTCACCTCTTTGAACTCTCTTTTAATTTGCCTTGCAGCTCTACTCCAAACCCTTCAGTAGTGACAGCAAATGAGAAAATGTTTTAATGATGTCTTTGGTTTCTCTTGAAAACCTTTGACACCTCAATATTCTGTATTTTTTCAGGAGAATCCTAAAATAGTCTGTGTGCCTGGAGCCTTGGCATGGCTGGCACTGAAGTAGTAGATAAATGCCCAAAGGAGGCAGTTAGATGTTTGTTATTTAAAGTGCTGTCACAAGGCTGCAGAGGTTTTCCTTGTCCTTAACATGCTGTTCCACTGTGCCTTGGCATTCCTCACACGCAGTAGCCACCTGTGTGTGAGGTTGGTCTCTTCTCCCAGGTAACAAGTGACAGGATGAGTGGAAATGGCCTCAAGTTGTGTCAGGGGAGGTTTAGTTTGGATACTAGGGAAAATTTCTTCAAGGAAAGAATTGTCAGGCATTGGAACAGGCTGCTCAGGGCAGTGGGGGAGTCACTATCCATGGAGATGTTCAGAAAGGTGTGGATGTGGCACCTGGGGATGTGGTTAGTGGTGGTGGGTTGACAGGTTGGGCTTGATGGTTTTAGAGGCCCTTTCCAACCTTAATGATTCCATGATTCTAAGACAGGGCAGATGTATCCTCTGTGTTTCAGCACCTACACCAGCAACAGCCACTGGGGAGGATCCTTTGAAGAATGTTCCAGTGTTTCTGTAGGTCCTGGACTCTCATGGGAGGTACCTTATGGGTGCCTATTTGTGTTTATGGCAGTACCAGCTTTTTTCCACACAAATGCTTTATGTCCTGTAGCCAAGGTCAGTGTACACTGCCCAAACCTAAAGTGCCACTGCCATATGTAAATTGTTAGGAGGTAGTAAGATACATCTGTGTAATGGTATAGTGCAGAGTATAAATAACTGAGCATCCTCTGAGAGTGGTCCCTTGGCTACTGCTTTGTTTACATTCATGGACTGAATGGACTGGAATTATTTTGTCTCCCTGTCTACATTTTGTCTTGTCTCTGGGTAGGTCTGTAGTGGAGTATCCAGAGTTGCACAGTCACATCCCTCATTGCCATTTCTGGGATCAGAGTGAACCAAGACTTTTTGTATGTGAAGCAGTTCCTGAAACAGGCCTCCAGTCTCCAGACCCAAAGAAAAATCCAACTGAGAGCACAGTATGTTCTTCTCCATTTCTTTTGTCTTGCTTTACATGGAGTTCTGCCTGTCCAAGTAATAAATCCTTGGTGCTTCATTAAGGATGTGAGGGTGGGCAGCATACATTATCTGGCACAAAAATGAGCAGTGAACCCCTGTGTTTGGTGGCTGTGCCTCAGGCTGGCACTGGGCAGCAGCTCCCAGGACCTTTAAGGTCCTTCCAACCCAACATAGTCTGTGATTCTGTTTATTTGCCCTGGGCCAGACCTGTTAGAGATGCCTGGAGCAGCAGCAGTGTGTGGCCAGGAGCTTCCCTCTTCATGGTGAAATTGATATTAATGAAACTTCTAATCCTCTAAATTTTCTGAATAAGACCAGTTGGATCATGTAAACCTGGTTGCTGGGAGGAGAGGTGGAGGTCCCTGTGCAGGAGGACCAGTCTGTAAGGCAGAGAGAGTCCCTGACTGCTCACACTAGGGAGGAAACATGTGGCTTTGCCCTCCCCAGCTGTGTGTGGGGCTGTATATGTCATATTATTTTCAAGAGAAGCTTCTGCCAAGTGAATATGGAAAATAGAAACAAAAAGAAAGAAGGATATTGCAGCATAAAAACAAAACAATGCTTTGCTTCCTTTTCCAGATGGATGTTTGGATCATATCATTCTTCAGCACTGAAGAGCATGGCCTTTTGCTGCAGGACAGCTTTCCACTGCCTTCATCCTACCAGGTTCTGCTGGGCATAGAGGTGCCACATTATTACTTTGCAAAAAAGGTGAGGAAATCTTTCACAATTCCTTCCCAGAAGTCCAGACTTTCCACTCCATAGGGATCAAATTTCTGGCTGCACCACATGGAGAAATGAAATGGAGATGGTTCTAATGCAGGTGAACTTGGCAGGATTGTGGAATTTGTGGTGAGTTGGCTTTGTGTGGGTATTACAAACTGAATGTGATGTACAAGAAACAGGAATTAGCAGGGAATGCTACTGAAAAAGGGATGTGCAAAAAATGCTTTATGTAGTCACTGTGCAAAATTGTTTGCATGTCAGGTAAATAATATCCTGCCTAATTCCATGCTGGGGCAGCTGCAGTGTTACCTACAGATTGGTTTCTGGTGAAGCTCTAACCTGAATTTCCTGGTGCCTGTGAGGATGATGATTTGCTCTGTTCCTGTCTTATAGGAGTGTAACAGAGCCTGTCTATTCTGCTAAGGCATTTAGTTTTATAAAATCTGCAGGAAATTCATATTGATGAGACTTCTAATCCTCTCAATCTTCTGAATAAGACCAGTTGGATCATGTAAACCTAATTTCATGTGTTTTAGGAGCAGCGTTAAACAGGGAGAATGTGCTGCTTAATGTGTTCAGGTTCAGAGCAGCACTTTGCAATTCATCCCTTCCAAGCACTGCCTGTTGTCACCTTCCCTCTGCATGTGGAGCTTTCAGAGCTGCACTGGTTCACTTTCCTTTTCCCCTAATTTGAAAGGCCAAAGGTGACATGCTGCATTTTATCTTTCTTTTAACACTTCCCCATCATGTCTCATGCTATTTTACTTTGATATTATGTCTTTCTTTTTTTGCCAACTCTGTATGGATTATTGCTGCCATTAGTTGTGTTTTCGGAGGGGATGTGTCTATAAACCTGTAAGTATCTGCACTGTTTTGCGCTGCTTCCTTAATTTTCTGCTCCTCTCTCCTATTTTCATTTGCTTCCCCAGTAGGTTGCTGTCTCTTTGTGTCTAATCCCTTGGTACATAATGATTCCTTTTGGCCTGATCTAGTACATACATGGAGTCTGCTTTAACAACAGCAAATCCAGCTGGTGCAACAAGCCTGTTTTGACCAAGTTTTATTCCAGGGTTTCTCCTTATTCTCTATCATGTCTTTACTGTCCTGGTTCCAGAAATTTTCCAAGTTCTAGTCAAACACATTGGAGCTTTATCAACCAGTTTGGAAAAGACCTCCAAGATCGAGTCCAACCCTACCGTGGTTATTAGACCATGGCACTAAGTGCCACATCCAGTCTCATCTTGAAAACCTCCACCACCTCCCTGGGCAGCCCATTGCAATGTCTGATCACTCTCTCTGTAAAAAATCTCTTCCTAATATCCAACCTAACCCTCTCCTGGCAGAGCTTGAGTCTGTGCCCTCTTGTCCTGCTGCTGGTTGCCTGGGAGGAGAGACCAACCCCCACCTGACTCCAACCTCCTGTCAGGGAGTTGCAGAGGGTGCTAAGGTCTCCCCTGAGCCTCCTCTTCTCCAGGCTGACCAGCCCCAGCTCCCTCAGCCTCTCCTCATGGCTCTTGTGCGCCAGTCCCTTCACCAGCCTTGTTATCTTCTCTGGACCCACACATGTACAAAGGAGTAAGTTTCAACCTGCTTTATCCCTAACTGACAACCTTCTCCTTTCAGCTGGGAGAGGCTGAGAAGGGAGCAGCAGAGTCTGGCTCAGCAACAGTCTCTATGGTTGCAAGGAGACCCTTGAGAGACTTCACTGGACTGGGAGACTGTGACAAGACCACCCGGGATGCTATGCTGAACTTCAGCTTCTATCTGACTGCTGGAGACATGGATGAGGCCTTCAAATCCATCAGGCTGATAAAGAGGTATCAGAACTATTTGTGTGTGTTTCTTTATGGATACAGTTTATTTTTGTTAAAAATTTGTGTGAAGTTGCTAAGAGGATTGGAGCATCTCCCCTATGAGGACAGGCTGAGGGAGTTGGGGCTGTTCAGCCTGGAGAAGAGAAGACTGTGTGGAGTCTTCAGAGCAACTTTTCAATATCCTCCTAAATTCTCCTTACCTTTTCCCTCTGATTTCATTCTTAACAAGATGAAACATCTTTATCCTACAGGCATTTTAATGCATTCTCTGCTTCTCCTTTGTCTACAAGACATTGCAAGCTCTGTGGATACTTCTTTGCTAAACAGGAAAGAATGACTGATAACCAGTAACCTTATCCTATGTCTGAATGGCAAAAATCTCACCTTATCACTAGAAGAAAATGAACATTCACAACTTTATTTATACATCTAAAATAATCACAGTAATACTGAGTATTACAGATTTACCAACCACTTTTAAATTTAAATGTACATTATTATAATATGGATATTGCAATATTAGAAGAAATAATATAATGTCTCTTAAATACTCCAATATTTTATTTTTAAAAACCCTGCAATGAATCATAGCATATTATTTCTAGAATTCTGTTTCTTCCAGAAAGCGTAATGCAGGCAAATGAATACTAATCTTAGTTGGTTTTTACAAACCTACTGCTAGAAGAAACTCTTTGTCAGCCTTATGGTATTTACCCTGATAGTCTAGAGCAGTGCAGCTGGTCTAGAGCATCAGTGTCTGCAGAGTGTTGTTCACTTGGAACGTGGTGCAGAGCAGCAGTTGGGGTTGAGTTTCTTATGACATCCAAACTGAGTGCAGGACAGAACTCAAGAGCCAGCTTGATGATCACATTTTAACAACATGTGGGAATAGAAGAAGCAAAGCAATGTACTCAGCTGGGAGCAACACAACAGTCCTAGGAATCTGTAACATTCACAGCTCATGGGCCCTTAAACCTATTACTAACTGTACTCAGAGCAGCATCCTGAGAGCTTCTAAATACCTGTCGTTGCCTCTGGTTCCTGTATCCCAAGTATTTCTGCATCATAGTTTGTGACATGTTGGTTTTCTTCCTGATAATGATATGCACATGGCTTTGGTGAGCCATGGGGGTCAGGCTTATCAACAGTATGCTTAATTCCAAAGGTGTTATTTTTTTAAACTTCATTACCACAGCTGGAGAGGGACTCTGTGTTAGGAACTGCAATGATAGGACAAGAGGTAATGGGTTCAAATTGAAGGAGGGGAAGTCTAGGTTGGATGTGAGAAAAATGTTTTTTATTCTAAGGGTGGTGAGACACTGGCACAGGTTGCCCACCCTCTTCTATTGAGGAGGTGTCCCTGCCCAGGGCAGAGGGTTGGGACTAGATGATCTGTAAGGTCCATTCCAACCTTTAATTCTATGATTCTGTGATATTAAGTTACCAGGCAGGTAATTTTTAAGTCTCGTGGTGAAATCCTGTGTCTTATTCTCCAGTCTGGGGGCTTGAGTGGCAGCTCTGTTCCTCAATATTCCCTGTGTTATGTGTCTCTGAACATTGCTGGGCAGAGCTGGGTGTCCTGACACAGCACTCAAGTGTCACAGCAAATGGTAAAGCTAGCTGGGAAGGACTGAAATATCTCCTGTTAATAACAGATCCCAACAACGTAAGTTAATTCTCTCTGTGATTATTAGGGAGTCCAGGTAACTTCCTGTAGATACTTGCCCTCAGTGCAACACTGAAGTAGGTTTTTCAGCAGCATGTGTGGCCTGTTCTAGCTGTGTACCCTTCTCATTTTTAATGTCTGTTTGCACACAGGACAAACCAAACCTTTGTCTCAGGATACAAAAGACGTGTCTGAAGGAAAAAAAAAAAGCAACTTAGTTCTTCTGCATTCCCTTTCTTTACATTCGAATGGTTCAAGTTGCTTTTGCTTTTTACTCTCTGGGCTGAGCTGGGGATGGGAAGCAGGTGCTGCAGCTAATGGGAATCCATTCCTTGTAGAGAGGTGGATGAAAGGACTAGAGAGTCATGACTTTTAAACAGCTGTTAAACTCATCACTTTATAGTGAATTTTCTGCGTTCTCAGATTGCCTGTTAATTCCAAAGCTATTGTCACTGGGCTCCTATAGCTTTCTACATTATTATTAGGGAGCAGGAGAACTCGATGCAGACAGAGAAAACACGTTTGGTTCCCTCTTTCCTGTATTCTCATTGCACACACTGGGTGTCTGCTCCAGCTGACCCTGCTGCCATGCAGCTGTGATGCTCTGTCAGGATTCTGACAGTCCAGCATTCTGTGCTGTACAGCAGAGGGAGAGGGCAATATAATATAACATAGATAACATTGTGTTTTATACATATGTATATAGACGGAGCCCATCCAAAGAATAATTGAGGGCCTCTGCCCACAAGAGCGAGCGAGCGTTGTGATGTCTTTCAACCCTTGATTTTAAATTATAGCATATATTTATAGAAAAACATCTCCAATGCAGATCTCCTTGGAGATCTTTCCCCTTTCCAGTCCACTCTTTCAGCACGGTGACTCCACGTAGTCGTTGTCCAGGCCGCGGCGGAAGCGAGCGGTCAGGGTGCGGCTGATGACGATGACCCGCGGTGCCATGCAGTCCTCACGCCTGTGGAGGATGTTCCAGATGAGGATGGCAGCTGCCAGCGTGGCCAAAAGGCAGGCTCCAATGTTCAGGTAGCAGGACCAGGAGAGGTTGGTGTACGGCCCAATGCGGTAGAATGTCACCAATCCGATAACCAGAACAAAACCTGCAAGAAGAATGGGAGAGTTATTTGTCATGAGTTCTTCTCTTGAATTTCTGCAGTGAGGATGGAAAAGGTAAAAGTTAGATACAGATTAAAAAAATGAAATACAAATAGAAGAATAAAAGCCCCAATCACTACTTAAAGGCTTGACACATGTGCTGTTCTGAGAGTCAGTAATGGGAAGGCTGAAACCTCCTCCTCATAATCCAAGCACTGAGTAATCAAGGCTGAAACCTCCTCCTCATAATCCAAGCACTTTCCAGTAATGGGAAGGCTGAAACCTCCTCCTCGTAATCCAAGCACTGAGTGAGTATTCCTTCAGGAGATGTCTGGCATCCTTGGCTCTCCTGTCTACCTAAAAGGTGGTTTGTAACTCAGTTGCTTGCTGCACCTTCTCTTCCTGAGATAACACTGTCCCACAGCTGCCATGTCCAGAGAGGGTTTGGAGTGAGGCATCTCTGCATTAGGATACTTCAGGAGGAAATAGGTTCTTATGGGAGAATTAGCTCTTTGCTGCTCTTTCCCCACTCTGCTGTGAAAAAGGCCTGACATACCCTGGGTGGGATTGAGGCTGTCAACCCAGTTGTAAGGACAGCAATTAATAACTCCTTGATTTTGTCAGGAAGTCTGGTAGTTATTTAGTGGCTCAGCTGAGTTACAAATGACCAAGTTTCATCTGGGAAAAATGTGCAGGCTACATGGAGCACATTAAGTTGCAGAAATGACTGGTCCATACAGTAATTGTTTGCTGGTGCTCCCAGACAGAGTCTGCATGCTCAGGAGGGCATTTCCAGGTTAGCAGGTTGGAGCTGGGATCCCAACACATAGGTGGTCATCCAGTATTATTTCCAATACACAGGTTTGAAAGTTGCTTCTTGGCTCCTGTTCAAAAAAACACTGAGTTACAGCAGAGCTAGAAAAAATTACGAATTTGTTTTTTTTACAAATTAAGCTTCAGTCTTGATTTTTTTTTTTCCAAAACTACAGCTTTTAATGAAATAACTTAGCTTTTTCTTGCTTGCTTATGTATCCTCTATGGCCCAACTACTGTCCTAAATGGGTACACATCTCCTTGCTCCACCCAATGAAGCAATTATCCACCAGGGAAAAGCACTAAGGCTTCCTTACAGCTTCCAAAATAAAACTATTGATGGTGGTAGGACTATTTCCCTTCACAGGCCCTTTACCTGAACCCTGCTCAGATGAGCAGCCAGTCATGCAAGGGGCTCTCCTTTCCCAGTTCTGTGCCAGGGGCTGAGCAGGATGGGGAGCTGGGTTGAGAGCTGTCCAACTTGGCAGATGGCAGAAGCCAGTTGCCAGAGCTCCTGAGCGAAAATGGAGTCTCTGTTTAGAATCCTTTGCTGCAGGCTAGACAGGAACTGACATTTCAGAAGAGAGAAACACATGACAGAGGTGGGAGAGGTGGAAGTGTGTTCCTGTGGAGTTTGCACAATTCATTTTACAGTTCTGCCAGTGTCAGCTCCAGAATAGAAATGTCACTGGGAACATTATTTTCCCACATTCTTGTTTCACATTAGTGTGACCTGATTAATAATTTCATTGTAATTATAAATATAGGAAGTCCAGAGCAAAGGGTGAAGAAATCATGCAGATCCAAAAAGACTGAGTTTGCGTAGGATGGTGAGATTTAAATTTGGATGAATGCTGCTTTTGTAAAGATGATGATGTGTGAAAACCCCAAAGTCTGCTTGGATAAATCTGTCTGTAACAGCTTAATCAAAATTAGACTTCCTGAAGCAAAGTGTTCCAATGTACTACATAGGTTTTCCTTGTCCTTAGAGCCCTTAGAGGGGTCTGGTTGTACACCAGCCAAGAACTGGGGTGGAACATTGAGTCTGTTCTCTAAATGACTGGGCAAACACATCCAGTTCACTTATTTGTGCCCTATAATAGTTAGAAGTACCTCTATAAAAATTAACCTTGTGTTAAGAATAGGCTCCAGGACTGGAACCGACTGTGGTGATGTTTTCCTTGTTAGATAGATATTAGCAATAATGTCTGAATTCAGTCTCAGTATCCCAATCAAACAGCTGGAGGGAGGCAGTTAGCTTCCCAGACCATTTCCTATAGGCAACTCTGCTAAAAATAACCAGAAAATTGCTCCCCTTGCCACCAGGCTCCTTGAGCTCATAATATACATAGAACCATAGGATCAGAGAACCATCAAAGTTGGAGGAAGTCTCTAAGATCACCAAGTCCAATCCTTAACCTGTCACTGCTGCAACCCCTAAACCCTAAACCATATCCTCCAGGTGCCTCTTCAACACCTCCAGGGATGGTGACTCCACCACCTCCCTGGGCAAACCTATTCCAGTGCCTGAACAGCCTAACAGGGAAAATTTTTTTCCTAACATCTAATCTCAATCTCCCCTGTGTCATTTTATGGCCGTTCCCTCTAGTCCTCAATACATCCCCCAAGGCAATGCAGGTTGAGGAGGGCTGCAGAAGGGACATGTTTCTTTAAATTTAGTTATGAAAATACTAAACATTTGGATCTGGTTTCATTTCATTTCTGTTTTGTAGTGATGACAACACCAGGAGATGCATGGCTGAGTTTCCCTGAACTAATTTCATTAAGTATATCAGTCAGTCTCAGCCCATTTTATTGTGCATTGTCTCAAGTCTGCACAGAGGCCACATCTTCACTCGAAATCCTGATGAGATTACTTGAAGTGCTTTATTTTCCCATAGAGCTGCTGTTTATCTCTGGTTGTTTCCCATCCCTAGCAAAACAAGCCAGGCCGGGGGGGCTTTTCCGCTGGGGAAGGAAGCAGATAACGGAGTCACTCGGAAGACTTTTGGTTGGGACAGTATTGACTGTGGTAGTGGGGGTGGGCTGGGAGAATGTTACTTTTTGAACTTACATTTCAGATCTGTGTGCTGGATTTCCTGTTTGACTGGAGCTGGCTGCAAGCCAGTTGTGAAATTTTAGCGTTTTAAAAGAACTCTCATAGTCACTTTTTTACTTCTGTGATAGTTTGTTGGTTTTTCAGACACCCCTTGATTTTCATTCTTCCTTTCTGTTAGTGCACTGATAGTGCAGTTGAAGAAATCCACAGTATGTTTTTTTTCTGGGTTGCTAGAAAGTCTATATTGGGAGGTAAGATCCTCTTTACAGCTTGTCCTATAGGATGACTTTTGCTGCCAGGAAAAGGGAGAAGAAGGAAAATAGAGCAGCCAGACTGTTGAGAATTCACCACCCACACTTGTGCTGCAGAACTGCAAACAGGGAAGGGAAATGTTTCACTCCTTTTCTCTGTAGCCCATCAAGTTTCACAGGGAATGATTTAGCTGTAATGAGTCACACATCTGAATGAGCTGCTTGTAGGAGCTCAACTGTATTTGTCAAGGTGAGATAGATTCCCAGAGTGATTGCTATGGGACTCCTGCAAATGATTAATTAATTAACACCTTTTCCTCTGTCAGCTTAGCACAAAAAGGTGTTGTGATAGTGTAAGGCAAATGTGGGGCCTCAGTGCTCTTCATTGTAGCACCAGGTTTGAGGATGCTTTGGTTTCTAATGCCACAGGGACTCAAGTGACCTTTGAGGTTTCAGTTGTACATTGTTAAGGAGCAAAAAACTTTTCTTTTAGTTTCTTTATAAGTTAAAAAAACTAATGTAAAATTTCCTTCCAAGGCTTTGGGTAGCAGATAACATCTCTTAGAATGAAACATGAGGAGCACAGATTCTCAGGGACAGTAAGACCCTCTGGTTCTTCACTTTTTTGAATTACAAGGGCTTTCCACTTGTGTTCTCTGAGTTTATCAGTCCCTGTCTTTAACCTGTTGGGAGATTTAGTGCAAGGCACCAAATCCTACTTTCCATCAGTTGGAACTCTCCAAAGGGAGGTGCAGAGGTTATTTACAGCATCTCATCGGAGCACAGATTCTCAGGGACAGTAAGACCCTCTGGTTCTTCACTTTTTTGAATTACAAGGGCTTTCCACTTGTGTTCTCTGAGTTTATCAGTCCCTGTCTTTAACCTGTTGGGAGATTTAGTGCAAGGCACCAAATCCTACTTTCCATCAGTTGGAACTCTCCAAAGGGAGGTGCAGAGGTTATTTACAGCATCTCATCTTCCATCAGTTGGAACTCTCCAAAGGGACGTGCAGAGGTTACAGCATCTCATGTATTTGCTTCCTTTTCAGGAAGTATTAGGTTTACAGCTCCATAGATTTCATCTTAGAACAGATGTGGCTTGAGGCTTTTGTGAAGGAAAATTGGAAGGAAGTAATAGAGAAATCAGCATCACATTGTTATCAGGAATATCTTCAGCCATGTTCTCCAGTGGCTGCTGTGCTGCTCTGTTCTGCACTGAGGTTTTCTGAGTATCAGCTACTCTGTTGGACCCAGAAAGAAGAGAGAAGGTGAATAGTCCAACAGTTGTTTGATCTAGTTTTAACAGCACAGAAATGTGAGTATATGTGTGCTTAGCCTCCCTGTGACACCTTAGTGGTCTGGAGAGAGTACACTGTCAGGGAAAACACAGTGGGAAAAGCTGGAATGCAATGCCTGAGATTCAGGAGAGGTGAGACTGTAATTTATTTGGCTGTAAATGACAAGCTCAGTAGGAACATGAAACTTGTTAAATCTTTGGGAAATGATGTATGAAAAGAATTTAATGCTGCAAGCAGACTGACAAGAATGTTTATCATTATGATCCAGGTTTATTGAGGTCTTGGGTGTTCAGAAACCAAGATGAGATCTAATGTAAGGGATATTCTCTCTCAGATTTTCCCTGTTATGTTTCTAACATTTCACTCCGAAGTCTGTGATAATCATCACTGTACAAGACTGGGACATGGCTGGAGCCCCTCAAGGCCTAGTCCTGTCTGGCAGGTTACTGCTTGGAGTATTTCAGTATCCTCTGCAGTGCTCTTTCTTCCCTGTGCTGTCAGTATGGGTTTTCCTTTCCAGCTGCTGTCATCTATGTTAGTCATCCTATATTCGGCACATGGAGTTTGTAACAGTTCCTTGGAAAAAACCAGAACCCCCCAAACCCTCTAGAGGGAAATTTCTGCGCATTGACACA